TATTACTATTTTCTTTCCCTTCCCAGGGAAAGATGTTTTGCAAATTTGTTTACTTTATTAGCAGCATGTTCTCGATCAATCACAAAAATCTAGTTCGATTTAAGGACTCAGCAAGCAGGTGTAAATAAACATAAATTATGTGATTTATATACCCTTTATTTTTTTTGCAGGTTTCAGCCATGGAAAGAGACCGCAGATCGTGCATGTCAGATCAGCAGCTGCGTCAGGGTTTTAGGTCAAAGGTTTACATGATTAGAGCTTGGCATGAGCTCTGCTTCCTCAGACCACCCAAAGGTCTTTTCCCAGGAGCTCCTTTTTGTGCCTTCAAGGTCAACTTGCCTCTCATGCATTCATGAAGATGGAAGCTGACACAGTTGCTTCAACCCTTGATTTTCCATTCATTAGGTAATCATTGGAATGGTTTAAGAGGCAAGTCCAGTACCATAATTAATATAAATTAGGTTTCTGAACTACATCTTTACATGGTTAATGGTTTTGCCTAATCTAACATATAATTAATATTTGATCATATTGCTTGGGAAAAAAATGTTAATTTGATCATCTTTTATTATTTGATTGGTTGTATTAATTTATTTTATTTTTCCTTTATTTTGTTTTATTTAATATTTTCTTAAACCCTTATATAATAAAAAAATAATTAAATAATCGATGTTACGAAAACAGTTAAAGCATAAAAGATTACGAAGATTGGTAAAATTAGGTTAAAAAAGCTTGGACCATTTTTAGGAGATAATAGTCCATTAAAAAAAGTAAAAAATGGTTAGGTAATGGTTGAATAATAATTTTATTGGCAAAGAAATGATGAAGAAATTAAAAAATAATATAAACAACCATATGATTAATGTGAATAAAAATAAAAATATAAAAATGTTATCAATGGTTTTGGGCTCTTATCAAATTGTTTCAGACTACAGATCATGACATGATCTTTTTAGTTAGTTCTGTTAATCATAATTGCAGAACGGATTTATTTATACAAAGAGGCATCATGTAATGATTCGATTAGATGAATTTTATCAAAATCTTTTTTCATTCAAATAATAATAATTATAATTATCTTCTGTGTTAAGATATTTATAGACGGGATTCTTTGTGTTTTGCAAAAAGCCTGCTACAATCCAAAGAAAACATCCCCCCAATCGTGTCTTTAGTTGAAGCTAACCACATGCCACATCCTTTTCTTTCTTCCATTTTCGAACCAGTGTCTTTTTAATTGCTTGATGTATTCTCTGTATGATTTTGGGGCAATCAATCATGAAGAAGAAAAAGAAGAAGAACGTGGAGGTTTGCTTAAGTTCCAAACTTAGACACACACACACATACATATATATATATGTATGTATATATCTACTGAAAAGGTATGACCTGAGCTGACAAGACATAAAATGAAATAGAAGAAAACCGAGAAAATGAAGAAGAAATCCATTACAAAACCTCTAAAAGTAACCAAAAAAATGAGGAAGAAACAGATGGAACTTTCTGGAAGTAAAGTCCAAGCAAACCCGCACTGCCATTTTGGATCATTTTAATATAGTGGTATTAATATTGTACGTTTTAGGAATTTTCTTCATAGAAAGGTTATAAAAAAAAGGAAATTAAGGGATATGTAATTGCTTATTCTTAGAAGTCTCGAACTCAAAATCCCCCCTGTTTGTTTTTAATTCATGTTCATTGTTGTCACCAGGTTTACCAACAAACCCATTGGTAGAACTGGGAACTAAATTTCATTTTATAAGAAATTTGATGAGGAAGGGGCACAAGAAGAACAAAACAAAAATGAAAGGGAAAAAGAAATTTAATCCAGGGGCTGCTGAAATGTTGAAAGCCCGGAAAGCATGTGAAGAATGGACTGAGGCCTGCAGTCTGAAGAAGGATGATGGGTTGTCCTGGTGTAGTTGGAGCCTTAACTCATTCAAGTCTGGGCCGAGGTAGACAACAAAGCATGCTGTGGCTTCTTTCAGCCCATACATCGTAATTGCCTAATACTTCACTTCCTTTTTTAGGTAATTTCTCATTTAGGAATGCCATTGTTCAGCTGACATGAATAAAAGGGAACAGAAAGAAAACTTGAACATCTGCCTAACATCTTAAACTTTTTACATTAAGTGATTTTTAATATAAATTTCTTATGATATCAAACCTTTCTTAGATTCTTTTTAGTTGGTATTTTTATTATCTGTTTTTCTAAAAAAAATCAAAGAAATCAACTTGGTGGAACTTTAATTAACTTAAAAGCTCGGTGAACATGTGTTAAAACTCATTCTCGCTCCTCATTTAGCAGTTTGAACACCATATCACTTAATTTAATGATAATTAATTGATTAGAAATGTTTTCAATATTCCCACTACAGTATCATAATCGTACTCCAAAAGGAAATAAGTCACGAGGAGAATTATTTATTTAAACCAATGATAAATGGAGTACAAAAGCAGATGGAATGTTTAGTGAGAAACAGATGGTGGAATATTTCAGTATATCTGGTTTCAAATTCATCCCAACAGCCATATTATATGGCTCAGGTTGAGACCTTAGAACATAGCAAGAGAAAGACCACACAGAACAACAAAATCAATGATATTATTCATCAAATTCAAACCTTTTAGCCTCAAGTATAGAGAATCGATCTTCGGTTTATTCATAGTTTTAAGTAACTGATCAATGTCAATCACTTGAAGAAGGACTCGCTTCTATCCTTGATGCTTGAAGTAGTTCTAATCTTCCTTTTAGTCTGGTCAATGTAATTCGAAAAGTGATGATCCTTACCAGTACCACGATGACCATGACCATGGTTATGTCCAACCACTTTTGAGGAATTCTCTCCATACTCCTGATCATGTGACATGATCCTCTTCCTTGTTCGAGAGATATATGCGGTAAATGTATCATCATAATGTGTTGGTTTCTTGCCTTCCTCCTCCCTATTGGCTTGACGTCGTTCAATTTGGACTTGGATTTGCCCCTTACTCTTTTCTGACTTATGCTTGGGCTTACTCTCTGCTGATAAGACAGATGTTCCAGGTTCAGTCCTGGAAGCAACTCCGGATACATGCTGACCGTTACCTGGGACAGTTGGTTTTCCTGATTGAACCATATCAGTCGAGGGCTTTGGCGCTTTTGCCTGTTGAGCTGTCCAGGTAAGTGCCACTTGGCCATTAATATTCCGGGTGGAACCGTTCAGGGCTGTTGGTTTTGGACTCTCAGTTGGTGGAGTAGGCAAGCTGGTGGTATATTCAAACTTGATGGGAACTTCGGAGCCTTCTTCACTTGTAGGTTTGGGGCGCTGTGGCGATGTTAGTTTGGTTTTGATATCAAGAGGTCTTATAGGAGGATCAGAGTTTAGTAGTGATGGATTTCGAGCATGTTTGGCAGATGAGGGTGTTTGTTGCCGGCTCGAGATACGACGAATTGTACTGAAAGCAGGAGCGAAAGTGATTGCTCTAAAGATTTTCTCACACACAGCCTTGGGGCAACTAGTTTGATTCTTTTCCATTGATGTGAAGGGAAAGTGAATAAGGTTTTTGAGTTGGTTTTTGGAGATATGATATTACGAACGAAAGATAAATAGAAACTGGAGAAGATGCCCACTTAAGATGGCAGAAACACCACATTTATACTTAGCATAAGCCTTGTAAAGAGAAAGAAATCCACTTCGCCAAGTGGACAACAAAACCGAGTATTGTCGTGTGTCATGTGTAAAACAAATCTTGCAGAACTCTGACGGAAAATTTGGAATGATTCTTAATAATTTCTAAAATTGAAATGGATGACTTTTCACATTTTTTTCAAACTGATGTGATGGATCAGGAATTCAGGACATATTCTCTTCTTTTTCGCTTCTTTCTCATCTTCATAAACAAGAATCCGACCATAATAAGGGTACAGCTTAGTGAGTGCAAATCATTTTTCATTGTTTTACTTTTTGACATTGAATACACTCATAGCTGTTCTACATGATGAAAGAACCGAGAAAGAGCAAAAGCTTGATGACTTTGCGACTCGAAATTGAAAGGGTATCAGATTCGGCAGCATCAGGTTTCGAAACATTAACGCGTGACGTGAACAAACCATTGGTAAGGTGACATTCAGGGCATGACATCAAGAGTTGGTGACGCCCAAGGTTTCTTGTGGCGCAGCGCAACTCTAGAAAATGGAGCGGTCTGTAGCCTACTCGGAAGAAACGAAGCAATTTTACTAGAGAAATTTTCCATTTTGAAAATGACGAATATGCCCTAGATTCGAAAATTTGTGGAAAGTGGAAACCCCTTTCCTGAAGCTGAGCTTCAGGTTTGATCGGTGACGTCCTTTCTTAACTTTATTCTTCTTTACCAGACCTTCTCCATGTTGGATTCCAGATCCAGACAGCCTTTGATTTGTTATACTTTATAGTTCTTCAATATATATTCGTTTCGCGAATAACCCACAGCACCCGCATGTTTCTCACCTTGTATTAAAATATCATAACGAATTAACCATCATCAACTCTTCATCCTATAATATTAATTGCGTTTTGTCTCTCGACTATTAGTTAATTAAGCCACTTCCAACATTAATGTATAAAATGCTTCTGGAAGATTCCTTAGCATCCTTGGCTAGTTAGCTTAATACCCAGCAAAGAAAGATTCCTTAGCATCAAATGTTACCTTGGTGGCCATTAATTCAATTACACCTTTATAATAAACTTGAATTGAGCAAATATAACACACGTGATATAAATTGCACTACGAGCACAATATGCAGTTAACTTATCTATACCTTTTTCTTCTGCTTTTTTTTTTTTTTATAAATAAAATTACCCCACCGTTTCATGTCCTGATGCTTAAAACCCCTAACCTTGGAATGCATGACCGAAGGACTGTCCCTAATAGATCAACCAGCTCAGAAGAGAACAATGGTTGAGGGAGCTGAGCACTATTGGAATAAATTTCGTCTCATCCCTCCCAAACAATTTACATATCAACTTAAATAGATATTGTGGGAATGGGCAAAACATAATCCTCTGTAGCTGTCAGGAAATTAGGAGAACAAATCATCTATCATTTGAAATAATATTTACAAGGTATCAAGGGAAATTTATGAATTTACATAAAGAAGTGGCTGCAAGTTAAAAGGATTCTATACCATCAAAATCTCACATCTCTGAACAAAAATAAATATCCTGATTTCCCAGCCAGTACAATTGCCACTAATCAAATTTCATAAGATTTCATAAGCTAAACTTCAATGACGAAAGACTTTTACAACTTGATCAATTCGTCTCCGGCAAAGAGGACAGTTAGTTAAGTGCGAAGAGCATGTCGTACAACAGCACATATGACCACATCTGCATATCATAAGCAATAGGCCATTAGTCCGTTTTGAGTTTAAAATTAGATATGAAGAAACAAACTTCAGAAGCCATATTTGATATGAAAAATTTCGATCATCTCACACGCTAGAACAAAACAAAAGAAATAATCTAGACAAACTTTATGTTTGGAAAAACATAAATATCGAATAAACATAAACATCAACACTGTTCAGAAACCTAGCAATCACCAGTGGCATAATGACAGGGAATTTAAGTGTTACTACAGCTAAATATGGAAAATTCTACATCTCATCAATGGTCCAATGACATTCTAATGCACCTCGTAGCTGATCACAGCCACCACCCAAAAAAGTGGAGGGGACAAAGAAAAGGTAGGGTACAGATGACAGTCTACGAACAACAGCATCTGCACATATCACTTCAGAGGAGAACACCCATCCTTCGTAAGAAAAAAAAATGGAATTTATGCAAAATATGGATTATATTTAATAATATATTCCTTTCTACTGGATATACCTTTAAGAAAATCAATAAACACCATATAGCCTCAGCATCAATAAGGTGCACAGGGTAAACATCTGATTTGCAACTCACAGTATGCAGTAGAGGCAACAGAAATTCTTATACAGAAGAAGTGACTGATTCAACATAATTTCTATGTTGCAGAATGGATATTGACAGAATTAATTTGGTACATAATACCTGTTTTATCCAGCTGAATTTTGAAATGCGACTCATAAGCACTTAGCACAGTTAAACATCATTATGGAAATAGATGCATAAATTAAAATCAGATATAAAACCTTCTTCCGCACAGCAAGAAGTATCTAGTTGACACAGACAAGCATAGACAGCATAGCTTAAAACAAGGCACTTTAACTGCTTTATATGACTCAATTAAAACAATGCAACTAGTTGACTTACTGAATGAAAACGGCATTGTACTCTTGCTCAAGGCATATTACACATAGATCTGGCATTATGCGGTCTCTCTTGGCTTCTGATCCATTTTCAGCTTTCCCAATTGAATCTACAGAAATTATTGTGAGATCCCAACACCTTGTACAGACAAAACCATGAACAATAACCATCCTTTAGACAGCTAATGAATTACCTTCATTATCTGGCCCTGATCTCTTCGCTGCAGCAGCAAGAACCCTGAATGAACAAAGTTCACAATTCAGTTTATTTGGTGCTCGTAAATACATGCCTCTTATAAAAAAAAGAACCTGATATGAATAGTGAAAAGACCATTGTGTAGCAATTGTTCTCTGTATCAGTCAATCTATATTCCAATCTGTTTCTCAACAAGCAATAAAAGCACTAATCAAGTATACCTTCGCTGCAATTCCCAACGGCGCCTTCTCTCCAATACGTAACGGATTGCATGCTTGGTGATTAGAAACACACCAAAGATGGTCAGTCCAAAAGATGCATACTTGTACAACCTAATAAATATAAATGCGGTTATTTTCTTCATTTTTTGAAATAATCATCAAAACTTATCTATGTTAAAAGGAATAAGGAAGCAGTCTGAGTCTGAAATATTTACAACCTTGCCCATTTCCCAAGGTTGGAAATGAGTTGCTCAATAGTTTTGGGGGACACATAAAAAGGCCCTTTATGGGGCTTCTGAATCCGAATTGTTCCAATGTCATCCTTGACAGCCTACCACACACAAGATTGGGAAAGACAAAATGAGGAAATGGTAAATGAACATATAACCCAAATATGGATGATGAACTCAGAAATTGCAGCTTTCTAAATTCTAAATCATGAAAACATCTTGAATTCAAACAGTTAGTAAGGAAAGCTCCATTATATTAAGACATTAAAGAAGAGCAATGGCAGTGTTAATTGTTTGATGCTTCAGGTGAAATATGTAGAGGACCAGGATACATATTTACTGTAGCATGCTGGTCCATGGTGATTAAGCAAAGTCTTCCAGCCATCAGGGATCTGCTTAAGCTTTGAAAATTATTGATAAAAAGGCATTGTATTCAGCAGATGGAGCTGCAGCTTAAAACATCTAGGCAGAGACAAAACTGTGGCTTGGGCCTTGGCTTGGACTAAATGGTATCTGGGCCAAAGATCAATCTCAAATACTAGCTCCAGATATGCTTCATATACATTGAAACTATCATCAAACTACTTCAACACCAAGATTTCAAAGTTGTAAGATAAGACTAGACATCATCCGACCACATTGAAACATTGCCTTTTATTCATTTAGGACCTTATAAGCGTCAGGCTGGACCATGTTACAGTGAAACTTAGGTTACCCAAGTTCTTAGGGAAAACCTAGGAAAAAAATTGATTTCCTACCATAATTATGCAAAAAGATACTTAATACACATTTTTTGCCAAGATTTTCAACTTAAAAGCAACGGTAGGAAACAGCAGACTGCACCAAGTATATAAACTAGTAACAACATTCTCATTTCCTAATATATTGATATTTTGAATATTTGAATCTGCATTGATATTTTAGCATCATTTGCCAAAAACAGAGGCAATCATTAATCGAAAACATACCTCACCCACAACAGTCAAGGAAGAACCAGTGGGAAGCACTCGCTCAACTCGCTTGACTCCAAGCATCTACAAGCCAATAGCCCATCAAACAAGCTCATTCCAAATGAAAGTGTTACCATAAAATGGACAATCTAAGGACACGGAAAAAATACCTTGAGACCTTGGAGATAGTCTAATGTTCCACGTACAAGTGATCGACCTGACTCTTCAAACACTTCACTTCCAACAGTCAGTGCAAAACCTGCTGCACTGCGAGCACCAACTACATATACTCGACCAGTTCCATCATCCTATAATTAATGATTTAAAGATATTATCAGCAAATCTGCTACATCAACAACTGTAATTCTTATGGAGCACATCATAATTCCTCCCAAGTGCGATTTCAAAAGTTAACCACCTTAACAATCCAGCATTAATAAATTAATTTTAGCATACTACTTAAACTAAAAAGACAGAAATATATACTAACCAGAAACCAAGGAACTTCTTTACTCATAGAAAGCATCAATGCAGAATCTTGTATCCAAGAACCAGCATCATTATGCTTTAGAAAATGCTGTTCAGCCTAAGACATAGGAACACGAATTTTTCAGTGCAATTAGAAAAAAGAATAAAAGAATCTACAGTTACTGCTCTGTTAATTTAAAAAAGGTTACCGTTTCCTCGACTATAACACCTCTTAATCCACTGTGCTCACAACTGATTGGTGTCTCAGAACCTACTCTTCCAGAGATTGTAACAATTAACGGAAGCACTTTACTTTCAAGGTCAAGCAATTGAGCTGAAAGGTGAAAGAAACACAATATTATTAAGACAAATGTCTTAGCACATGTATATGACAGCAACTAATCAAATCAGTCCCAAGTCCCACCCAAGTGTATCACCTAACATTAATTTTAGGGTAAAATACCTTGACCCTCCTAAGTTTTGACCATAATTCCATATGAGACCATTAGTATTCGAAATGGATAATCTGCCTCAAAAGATTATCTTTCACTGAACACATAAGTCTAACTGTTGGTCAACCATTACTATTTCTGCTAGTTTGATGGCGTGGCAATATTTTTCAAACAATTTTACCCTTCATTAATTTTAAAAATTACCAAACAATAAAAACTATAATTTTTCATTTTTAAATTTTTTTCTCCTATTCAAAAAAAAATGTCTCTCTACCCTACCTCTCACCAGCTGGCGGTAGATCTGGCTGTGGAATGCCAGATTTCCCCAAGGGAAGTGTGCAGATCCAGCTGTGGGGTGGCTGGCCGGCATAAGGGAGAACTGCCAGCCGGCCTGAGAGAAAGGAAAGTAGTGAAAAAGAGGAGAGAAAAAAGAAAGGTATTTTAGATATTTCACATTTGCCCGGTAACACCATCTATGTGTTTAAGGCCCAATGTCCATTTTGCGGGGTGGAATTATGACTAAAACTTAAAGGGTCAGGGTATTTTATCCTTAAAATTAAGATAAACATCTTTAGCATCATTAGCAGTGAAAGTGTAATAAAACTCACACCACCAATCAAATAAACATGTCCCACACCCATTTTCAGTAGTTAAAGTTTAAGGTGGACGGGACCATTTTTCCAATGTTATCAGATTTTTTTAATGCAAATTGCAAACTTATCCTCAATATTAACAGAGAACAACCTTGCTGCCAAAAATCAACATTAAGGAGAGTGAATTCATAGCTACACTCACATGTACCTAAGATGTTCCAGCATAACTAATTAGCAAAACAATCAATGATTAACAAATAAAAAACCGAGAAGCCTCTTGAAATTGATGTAAGTTTGCATAAATTATAAAATGGGTCCAAAAACTTAATCTACATTCTTACTCAGCACATTTCTCAAATTTCCTTCTAAAAGTTGTAGAAAGAACAGGAAATCATTACCCAAAAGCATAAATTTCAACCAATCATACAGAAATGCATAAAACAAAGGAAGAAGAGGCACTGGGGCTACATACCCAATTCCTTAAGCTGATTGACTCGAGTGACCGTCTTGAGAAGCTCCGCATCCCTGTTCCACCATTTTAAGTACAGAATTCGATTATCAATTTTTCAAAAAATTGTGCCAAACGCATTCGGTAAATGATGATGAAATTATCTTTATTGATATAGTTGATGGAAAGCTAACCTGCCACTGCTCCTTCCAAGAAGATAGAGAGCGGCTCCACTCAAGCAGCACGAGAGGCCGCCCCATGGAATCATCTTAACGGAAACTCAAAAGGGAGCCCTAATTTCTAAAGACCTTCAGTTACAGCCTTCATTTCTCATAAACGAGCTCAAAATTTTAGCGAAAAAAGTTAACAACAAAGCCAATTTGATCGGAAATTATCAAATATCACACCAAAATTGAAAAAAAAATATGTAGAATAATTCAAAAGAACAGAAAGGAAAATCGGAAGGCTCTTTTTAAGGAAATGGATGAGGAAAAAAAAGTGTTGAGGAAAAGGAAGGTCGAAGGAACAAGGAAATGATATAGTTATAGTAAATAACTTTTGGAGAAAGAAATAAGTACAGAGGGAATTAGATGCGAGAAGTGAAGGGAAGGGAGAAGGAAGGAGCTTATCCAAGGCACCCAAGATTCATCGTCGCCACACTCTTCTTCACCCCCAATTTGAATGCAGAAAACAGAGAGAGACAACCGACTTTTTTTGCTTGCCTGCCTGAGCCTGTGGTTGACTCAGGCTTTCATAGCCCAATCGTAATTTCTCTTCGGCCCAAACAGAAAAGTGAACCCATATATGCCTTGAGGTGTCTGCCTATACATACATTGTTGTTTCGGATTGATTGAGATTGGAATGGTTGGAATTTTTTTTCCCTTTTATGATTTATTTTAAAATGCTATAATATCTAAAAAAATTGAATTATTTAAAAAATTTTAATATATTCTCCTTTTATTGTGTTGAATCAAATTTTTATATTTTTATTTTTAAAATTTTTAAATTATTTATAAAGTATCACTAATATTTTTTTATATTATCTAACGATTATATGAAATGTTAAGCTATCATATTAAATAATGATGTGATATATTGGTCATGTGATATTTTTCCTTCTTCATGTCAGTATTGCATCAATGATATTTAACTAATAATAGTTAATCAACTTTAATAATTTACTTAAAAAAATTAACTATTATAAAACAATTTGACAAGTAATATTTGACTAATAACAAATGATTTAAAATAATTTGACTCAAATAAATTTAATAATAACAATAATCTCAATTTCAAAAGAAAATTATTCAAAAGTATCAATTTTAATAATTCACGTACAAGAATTAGCTGTTATAATCATAATAATTTCAATTTTTAATAAAGCTTAACAACAAACAAAAATTAACAAATATAATAAAAAAATCTCAATGAAAAGCAATCATTTAAAAAATATTAAGAGCTATCAATAAATAATTCAATGATAAGTAATTCCTTAAAATTAATCATAAAAATTAAATACAATATCAATAAACAATTCAATGAAAAACTAGTTTCGAATCAAAAACTTAATAGTTTATAAGAACCTAAGCAAAAAAAAAAAAGAAAACACAAATAATTTATATGAAACCAATCAAACAATCCCCAAAAAAATAAGTAATAATTAATCTAAGGTACTTAACCAAATCTTTATTTTGTTGCTTTCAACAAAATATACTAAAACGATAAATCCTGAATCAAAATCATCAAATAAAATTATTAAATAAAAAATTTTAAAATTAAAAATATTAAAAAAAATAAGTGAATAAACTAAACTTACCAACTATGATGACATGAAAATTAAATTATTGATTAAAGATTTTCTGCAGGAAAGACTAACAAGCAAAAAAGAGTGGAGAACAAGAGGTAATGATTGTGAGGTTTTGGAGAAGTGGTGTTTGGAAATAATTCTATTACAATAAATTTTATTTTAGTCTTATGAAAATTAGTTATTGATTAATTATTGTGAGACATCTCATCAATAAAAAATTATTGTAAAGATAAAATTATATAATTTCAAAAAAATTAAAATATATTAAAAAACAACAAAATTATAAAATTTCAAAAAATAAAAATAAATTATCGGGTAAAATGGATAGAGACTAAAATACATTATGTGATCTTTGAAGTAGTAGGGCTTTCCACCAGACAATCATTAATAATATAGTAAAATTTGTTTTAAAATAAAAATTAATAGGAAAAATATATAAGAAAAATACATATTTATACTTTAGAAAAAAGTCAAGAGAAATACATCTTAAACACCTTCATACTTGAGTCACCAAATCAAAACTCTCCAGAATATTTCAAGATGAAATTAATTTACGTGCTCTGTAACTTGTTCCAGGTTACTTTCATTATTGTATGTGAGATATAACCGATTCACCTATTGCACTTATTTTTATTATTTTTTATATAGCATTATATTTTTTATAAAACAATATATTTCTAGAGAAAGAATAAGTTAGTAGTCACAATCAAGTATTTACAAATAATTAATAAAAATTGGGATGATTAATTTTGGTCAAAAATATGTATATATAAATATAAAAAAAAAGAAAATGTAATGAATAAAATGAACTTATTTCAGAATTACATGCAGCATCCATAGAACTTTGTGGGAGAAAGATACAATTTATACCATGGTTTGTCCTTTTCCTACTATAGTTGGGTATAAGTTAGATAAAATGAGAATCTATTCCTTTTTGCATTGGTGAATCAATATTATACTATTTTTACTATCCTCTCAGTTAATTTATCTTCTTTAAAGTAGTACAGAAAATACGTTAAAATTAAAATTGAAGACAAAAAAATAAAAACCATGCTTTCCTGCTTGCTATTAATTAATTCTATAATGCACCAAATACGTCTTTATCTTTATGAGCAAACAAAGACTTAATATTTAGAGAAATGAAAATATTACCTTTAAAAAGAAATGTTTGTTTCTTAATGTAACCCATGGTTAAAGAACCATGTAAGTCACAGTTCAAGTTCAGCTAGCAATAGTATGCTATTTGAATGTAAAAGTAGACCATATTGTATATTTAAGATTAAGAGCCTTATTAATTAACTTACACATACCCTAAAATGAATTAAGTTCCTTTAGCTTAAGTATCAACTCGCGAAGCAAGTTTAGATTAGAAGGCTTGCCCCTGCATAGCAAGAAAGTTAGACATGAAAGATCAAAACCGATGGCCTACCTACCTTTACCATGTCAATTAAAGAGGGAAGAAAAGGAGATCAAGATCTTGTATTCACAACAAAATGAAATAATGTTTTCCTAGTTTGGTGGCTACGTAATTCCTCCTTTTCCCCTTTATGAAAATGGAATGCCGGCCCTATTGTTGATGTAAGTCATATGATCTTAATCTATATATGTACACCTATTTATATGGCAAAATGAGGGGGAAAAAAGGATTTTTTTTGTTGGATAATTCGTTTATTAATCAACATCAAGCAATTGAGCTGCCGTTTTAAGTTACTTGCTACTCTCATGCATGCAGCAACTTTCATGAATCAATGCCATGCATGGCTTTGAGTTTTGATGGTGTGTAATGTAGGATGATGCTAACATATTCTCCACAAAATCGACATTCAAGCTAATAATTGCACCAGTGATTGTTTGTTCTACCAATCATTGATTCCAAATTTACGATTTTGGGTTGTTGGCAACAATGGAAAATGATATGTCTGCATTAATTAATTGGGGTGAGCTAGGGTGGGATGAGGCAGAAATATGATCCAACCTAGGCAGCTATACTGAAAGGAATTTCAGAGGGAAAAGAGTCTGCATTTATCTCACCTTGTTTTCTTTGAATTATGATCCTAATTAAGACTCTTTGACGGCAGTTCTTCGATTGAGCAAAACCGGATTTAAGGCACTTTCAGGCCGGTGAATTTATGATTCATCTGTGTTAAATTTTCATTGGCAATTGCCATATCCTTCTTCAAGCTGCTAGTTCATCAGTATTTCGGGAGTTATAATTCATCAGAATAGTAAATGAGCCGGAGGAACTTGAAATTGTTAATTTTGTACTTCGACAAGAGAGAGCCGAAAGAAATTCAGCAACCATCTCAGACTAGAGAACTCTTTTAATGAACCTTTTTGTTTTCATCAGGAAAAAAAAACCATTTCACAGATTGTCTTTATTCAACACATTTTGCCATGCTTTACATCTATCTGCCATTGTCATATCAACTCTGATACAAACTTAATACAACAACATTCATTTTTGGTCAGGTAAGAGATGGTGCATTCGCCAAGTGAGGCGAATCAGAATAATTTCCTGTTAGTATTAGGTCTGCAACAAATCTATTCGCAGCTTCTGTATAATGAGTTCCATCCCAATTTATATACTCAGCAGTGTTGTTGCATGGATTTGCTGTCACTATGCTCCCATTCAGATCCTTTGTTAGACCACAAGCAATCCTAGAGTCAAAATTCAGCGGAGGCCCACCATAACCACAGCATGCTGCTATAGGTTGTTGGAATCCTGCACGCGAAATCCAGATCGAGTATCGGATGATATATAACATGAAAAAATAATGATAACATATTTGAAAGATGGATAAGTAATAACCTGCTTACCATATAGAGAATAATTTGAAATAAGGCTTAGCTTTATTGAGTAAATATCGACGTAAGTGCAATTAGCTTCAGGCAACTGTGCCAAGAAGTTTACACAAACATCATGGAGTTTCATGTTGAAAACATTAGCTGCTCGGTTGTGTGAATTTACGCAACCAAGCTCATCTAGGTTGTCATTTTTTCCCAATGTAGCAATAATTCTTGGCAAGCACCCAAGGGGACCTGTGTTATGAATCCAGAAATTCCTTGCTCCTGAATCATACAATATCTAAACAAAGAAAGAAAAAGGAATTAAGTATAGTAATATTTATTAAGGCTGTGTTAGAGCTAGCTAGTTTAATTTCTGGCTTGACAGAACCTTCATTCCATACTCGAGTCCTGACACAAGTTGTGGAATCAAAGCAAGTACTTTTTCCTCCGATTTCAATGAGTAGAATGCAGCGTCAAGATCATTTTGGCCTATGTCAATCATATAAAGGCCCTGCTTGAAATAACCTTCTGCAGGGAGGAATTTCTGAAGTTCCTTATCTGAAACAAAGACCAATTTTCTTAATGTCAGTGCGATTGCATAAAAACCTAAACCATTTTAACAAGCCATGATTGTGTAGTCAAAACTTAGAAGCTTGTCCAATGATGAATACCTTTCGAGAGTAATGCAAGAGCTCGTTCCTTGAATCTGAAGAATTGATATAGCTGAAGGTTAAAGGAAAAGGGGTTTATAGAAGCTGCATTGGCTGCAAGTATAGTAGACCCTCCGGTCGCAAAGTTGCACCCTGTCTCGAAACTGGGAGAGCCAACAGAATCCAAATATGGGTTCAGGTAAGGAAGCTCCATTGCTTCCACTGCAGAATTAAAGCAAAAAGTATATGTCAATATTCCAATATATATATTAGAATTAAATTCCATCTCCATGATCTCAACCATGTGCGTTGCAAATATCTATGTATGCAGGCAGTGAGTCCCTGTAAACAAACATGTTAAAATAATAAATAAATAAATAAAAGAGGATGATAACATTACTTAGAAAATCAATAATTAAGCGACCATCGCAGAATCTCCCAGAGGGTTTAAGAAAGTAGGTTTCTCCATTTGGTGGTATCAGTGGAAAAGCCTTTCCGGCAACTAATCCACCCGTGTCTGAATTTGAGTCTCCGAAGTTGAATACCGCAGGGTAATTCAAACTCAAGGGGCTAATAGTAGGCAAGAAGGAACAAATCAAAGCTAGTTTTAGAATAGAATGCATATTCAGAGCCATAAAGAATTGGAAGCTGAAGAAAACTGACCAAATCGTTGGCAAAACAAAACAATAGTTCGATTTCCTTGAAAGTGGCTGGACCGCGAAGATAAAGGTTGGTAGGAAGTTGATTCCTTGCAGTTGAATCAAAGGGTATTAAACAAAAAACCAAAACCAAAACCAAAACAAAGGGTCTGTTTTTTGTAGCCTCGAGTTTAAGCTCCCGCAAGGGGTTTAACCTGCACAAAAGCACACTCCATGACGAAAATGGATGGGTACAAAACAGGAGGGTCCAAGGCAAAAGGCCAAAAAGAATCGATTGAAAGGCACAGAGACTGGAAAAATTATTTCCAAGCCATCGATCGCTAGGGTGTCTTGTCTCCTAGAAGTTCATCCGTGACCTAAGGATGTGGACGTATATTCACCATCATTTTTTGCCGCTGAATTGATAATTCAACAAAAAAGTCAAAAGGACAACGAATCTAGTATTGTCTCTTCCCTCATTGTTTTCATTACTAGTCTTTTTTTACTTTTAAATAAAATATCATTGTTTTAATCAGACTTTTCATGCAACCAGTACTGTTTCAGCCTTTAAGTTGGCTAGCTCAGCTGGAAAGTAATCACTACAGAAGAAACACTCCCTTTGGCACAATAATGAAACACGACGAGGTTACCTCAATTTCTTATATCTCAAAAGAAAGAAACAACGGCTAAAATTGTAAGCTAAGTCTAGATTGTTACTTGTTTAAAACAGACTCGTTCACTTCTAAGGGACCATCAGCTCTAAACTCATTCAATCCCACACCCAAGACTAGCTCCCAAATAATTTCCTTTTTGTTAAAATCAAAGAAATTACAAAACTTTTATCTTAATTACAAAGAATTAAAAAACAATACATTTACTTCAAAATATAGTAAAGGAAGGGTACATTTTCTATTTCAAAATGTATTACTAGTATTTATGTAGTAATTTAAATTTAAAGATATTGATTTGAACTTTAAAAATAGAGTAAGAGGCAAGGTTTAAGAAATGACTGATTAGTAATGGGCCGGGTAACAACAAATGGATCTTTCTTTGTAGTGGGAGCATTGGGCTGGGCAGAAGCATCGTAGAGCCCAAATTAAATGGAACGGATACGATTACAACGGAAACAAACAGAAATCCGCTCTGGAGGAAAAGCCCTTTTTCTCTCTCCCTCTAAAACCCTCGACTCAGAAAAACGCTTGGAAGCTAAAACCCTCCCCAAAGCCAGCACTGAAATCCCATTACCGCCACTCTGTGTACATAAAACCCTTTGCTGTCTGCAACAGATCAAATCAGAGAAGAAAAACAGAATGGCTGCGGTCGTCCTCCGAAACCCTAATTCGAGGCGCCTTTTGTCATTCTCTTCCCGAATTTACTGGTCCTCTCGTGGCTCCATCTCTTCTTCCCATTTCTCAGTCTCCGATTTTCTCTCCGGAAATGAGGCGGCGATTTCTGCTAACGCTAACCCTTGGTGGAGATCCATGGCTACTTTCACTCGCACGTCAGTTTTCGCTTTCTTTCATTTTTTAAATGAATTAGAGCTTTTTCTCTTTGATGCTTTCAACTTTCAAGCCTTTTTTAATGTAGGGTTTGTTTTATATATTAATATTGGTTTTTGTTTATGATTTGAATTTGGTTTAGTTAGTAAAATTGTGAATTTAAGAATAGGACACGTCGTTCTTTTCCATTTTCGGAGTTTACCAGATTGAAAAAAGTGATGACAGTTTTTATGAGGTTTAATGGAGGTATCTATTTAAACATGAGAAATAATCAATGAAAGCAATGGGTTTTCATTTTTAACGATTGGAAATGCTTTCTTATTTGTATGATGGGTTTCCTTTCCAGAAAACCTCATGTGAATGTAGGAACAATTGGGCATGTTGATCATGGAAAGACCACACTGACTGCGGCAATCACAAAGGTTGTCTTGTTGATATACTTGATAGTTTCTCATCACAAACCATATCACTTTCAAATAGTTCTGAATTTGTTATTACAATGGTGATCTGCATTGTTATGATAAGTTTGGTTTATTGTGAATAGGTACTGGCAGAAGAAGGGAAAGCTAAGGCTGTTGCCTTTGATGAAATTGACAAGGCTCCTGAGGAGAAAAAGAGAGGAATTACAATCGCAACGGTTGGTAACTTTTTGTGTTCTCCATGTCATGCATACTTGCTTGTTATGGAATAGAGGGGTTTAATTCAGTTTCCCAGCAAAGCTATCACACTTGATTTGATTCTGCAGGCTCATGTGGAGTACGAGACAGTTAAACGTCACTATGCACATGTAGACTGCCCAGGACATGCTGATTATGTTAAAGTAAGCTGTTAGTTTAATATGGTAAATGAAATAATGGTATCTTTTGCTGAATAACCTTGCTCAAAATGTTACAAAGAGGGGATGAAGCTGGAAGCTCTACAAAGATTTATTATAAGATAGTGTACAGGAATGCTGAAGCTTTCATGGCAAGAAACATGCAATTTTTACTTTGCAAATGAAACTATAAATGCTTTTTTTATTTTTGGGGTTTTTTTCATCTATGTATGGGAAGGGATGGAGCTTACTGTTTTATTTGGAATTTACTTCTCTTGCTTGTCTTATCTGATTTGACAAACTTAGATTCATTTAAATGATATTAGCCATTTCGAATCATTGATTCATTTTTGTTTGTTAACATTCTGCATGAATCTACCAATCAAACAGCTTGTGAACAGTGGCCTAACTATAACATGTTTTGCAGAATATGATCACTGGTGCTGCCCAAATGGATGGTGGTATTCTGGTTGTATCAGCTCCTGATGGGCCCATGCCACAGACTAAGGAACATATTCTGCTTGCCCGCCAGGTGGATATTCTATAGCTGCTTGAAACTTATTTAGATGGAAGTATCATCTATGTGCTGTTAAAGTGTTTATTATTTACTTATAAAAAATACCTGTATGCAGGTTGGTGTGCCCTCGCTTGTGTGTTTCCTGAATAAAGTTGATGCTGTTGATGATCCAGAGCTGTTGGAGCTTGTGGAAATGGAGCTCCGTGGTAGGTGGCCTTTTTGTCAACATGTCATTTCTTGTTTGTTCATTTCCATGGCGTCTTTGAACTAATTCACATAGGTTTACATTTGTGACAGAACTACTTAGCTTCTACAAGTTTCCTGGCGATGAAATACCTATCATTCGGGGATCAGCATTGTCAGCTTTACAGGGTACAAATGAGGAAATAGGCAAAAATGCTATTTTGAAACTAATGGAGGCTGTAGATCAATACATTCCTGACCCCGTGCGCCAACTTGACAAGCCTTTCCTAATGCCAATTGAAGATGTTTTCTCGATTCAGGTAGAAAGCCATGGATGTGGCCTTTTTTACTTGTTTTTTTCTTCTTTAGACTTGCACACATTTGGCTTTGCTGCATAAGTTGCTTTAGCAGCTCCTTACTCATGGCTTTTGATTATCATCCGTCTTGGCAACATCGTATGAATGGTTTTTGCAAAAAAGTCAAGTAAGTAAGTTGTGGCTACAATTTTAGTCATTTACCTTTTTTGCTCTGTTTCATGTTAGTATGTGGAGAGGGGTTTAAAATGCTAGAAAACATGACCTTTTTCATTTAAGATGCAGTCATTTTACTTTGAGATAAATTTTCTTTTTCTGAAGTTGGGATTTTAGTAATTTTTTGGTCTGCTTCTGGTATTTTAGTAAAATTTCCATCCTGTTGCATTGGGGGTGGGGGGGTGCAAATTTTACATAGCCTGATGATGTTGGTTGATGTCTTGAAGGGACGTGGAACCGTTGCAACTGGTCGTGTTGAACAAGGGACCATTAAAGTTGGTGAAGAAGTTGAAATTTTGGGTTTAACGCAGGTATATTTGTAAATTGAATTTTCTAGTCATTTTCTGTGAAGTTCATATGCATTTTCTTGTGATAAATTTGTTGGGTTGATGAGGTCCTGGAATTTTATATTCTGAACAAGTCAGCCTGGTTAGGGTTGTTAAATGAAGGGTACAGTTGATATATTTTGATAAAATATCATTATTTGTTGTTTGATCTAAAATTTAGCTTTCTTCTGCAGGGTGTACCTTCAAAAACTACAGTCACTGGGGTTGAGATGTTTAAGAAAATTTTGGATCAAGGACAGGTAAGTGACTATTATAGAGACTTTGCCCTGCTAAGGTTTTTGCACATTTGGTAATGAACTATATTTATGTGTCTGGATACTCGACTAGGCTGGTGACAATGTGGGACTTCTTCTGCGTGGCCTAAAGAGAGAGGATGTACAGCGTGGAATGGTAAATGGCACCAACCAAGCTTCTTTACATCCGCTTAGTTCTCTAGAAATAAATTGAACTTTTTATAGTAACTCTAATCTATTTATGATTTATCTAAATTTTGGACTCACATTTGCCGTTATTACCTAAAACTTTGTGATTCTTTCATGCTTTGAGAATGTATTCAAACCTGCTAGCGTATGAAAAATTAATTTAATGGTAAATGAGTTTTCTTGGGCATGATGTGCAAAAATGAAAAAAGGATGTAGTAAAATATCTGAAATCTTCCAACTGCTTAGGTAATTGCCAAACCTGGAAGTTTGAAGACATACAGGAGGTTTGAGGCAGAGATATATGTCCTCACAAAAGATGAAGGTGGACGTCATACAGCCTTTGAATCAAATTACAGGCCCCAGTTTTATATGAGGACTGCAGATGTAACTGGAAAAGTGGAATTACCCGAAAACGTTAAGATGGTTATGCCAGGGGACAATGTCACTGCAACTTTTGAGCTGATCTCACCTGTGCCTCTTGAAGCAGGTATGCTGCCATATTCCCTATTTTTTCCCCTAAAAAAAAATCTGAGAAATATTGGAAGTTACTATTGTATCACTTTATCTGTGTCAAGAAGAGTTTTTTCCCTCCCTAGTTAATTAAAGCTCCGAAGGATAGAAAATAGGACAGTCTTAATGTGTTGCTTGCCATCAATGTAACAGGACAAAGATTTGCCTTGAGGGAAGGAGGTAGAACGGTTGGTGCTGGTGTAGTATCAAAAGTATTGAGCTAAGAAGTTGCTGTTCCTTAACATTTACGGTTTCTCCATCATGTTGGCTTGCTGAATGAAGAAATAGATGGATCAATCAGTCATTAACATCTTACAAGTCTGCATTTGGTACTGTATTCTGGGAATTATTAAAGAGATAATTAGGTGATAAGAATTTGGGGATGTTAATGGAAAATTATTTTCATTCAGTTTTCAGCAGTGAACCAGTAGTCAGCATGTTATTTTTTTTTTCCTTTTTTTCCCCAAAAATCATATTTGAACAGCTTTTTTTAGGTTATTTGAAAATAATAGCCATGTTGAACAGTGCTGATTTGATATGTAAGCTTGGTTTCTGCACGCCATGACCAATCATTTTTCTTGGACTACTTTTTGTAGGTATTAATTGTTTATTCCCTCATCTTTAGTTTTTTTCGAATGAAAAGTGTGTGTGTGTGTGTGTGTGTATATATTTTACTTTAGCTGTAAAAAGGGAATCTTTTTGAGGGAAACAGTTCTCAAAACCCTACTCAGCAATGAGCTTGGCCTAGGTGGTATTATTTTCAGGCAAAGTTGAATAAATAGCAGCTAAATTGCCATTGCCAGTCCAGTTGCCAATGGTACAGCTGGCTTCATTTGTTTCCCTCGTTAAACAGGTCAAACTCTCAAAAGGGTTTTTATGGTTGTGTATTTGTGTTACCACTGTTATTGAGGAATAATCTCCTACGCCAGTCCTTATAAGCTATTTTCTATTGCATTGAGCGCTAGCAAATCTGTGTAGAATATCTCCGAGCAACTGAATACTTAGTTAGCTCTTTCATTCATTCAGTAGATCATGCATTCAAAGAAAAACAATAAAAACGAAGTAAATTTTCCCAATTCGATATGGCATACATAAACTTGGCCCATTATAATCATCATTTCTGATTTTTTCACTGCAGTCTTGCGTACAGTGTTTGGATTGACAAATCAAATGCCATTATAGTACTTAAGAATAGCTTCCGATACAATGACAAAATTGTATTTTTTATACATATTTAAGATATTGTTTTCTTTACCAGTGAGGCCGTGACAACCTTCCTCTCCATTAACAACTTAATGATTATTTTACATACAGGAGCTGACAGAGGATGAGGTCCTGCTCATATGTGCTCCAGGCCATCGCAAGACCATGTGGATAGCATAGGATTCAAAGTTCTATTCTTGAAATATCATGCTTCAATCCCCCTCTCTATCCAGATATCCATGGCCAAGATCAATACACTTCAGTCTAACAGCTAACTACCACATTTTTGTGATTAGAACACCCGGCCAGTCAAGATGTTAGCCAAAAGACTAACGCTCTGATAAACATGAGTTTTCTTCAGAATTCATGCAAACCTTAGCACTACTACAGCCATCACCGTTGCAGCTCTGAAGTAGATCTCATTGACGCTTTTCTCCACTCTCTTAATCATCTCCTCATCCTTCAGACCCGACTTGCTAGCACTCTTGCTGATTTGCACAACCGTGTTCCTCAGTCTGTTAACAGCCCAAGAAAGCCAAACTAGACCAAAACCAATGCCAGTGCTAAAGAATTTAGCTGAACAGAATGGAACTCTCCCACAAGCTACCTTACAAATAACAGAGAAAAGAACAGCAAGACCAGTCCCAGCAATGCCAGCAGAGAATTGGGTCAATAGCTCAGGAAGTTCAGGGCCAGATTTCTTCAGGGAAAGAATTGCTGTTCTACCAAGCCGTCTCTTATCAACCATCAAGGAAAGAAGGCTCTCACATGCATGGAAATAATTCTTTTTGTACAGATCTCTCTCCCTGGCTAACTTCCTGGAGGTCTTCTTCTTTGGCAATGGCTTGAGCTTGATTTTCTCATGACTGTTACAAATGAGTTGCATAAAAATAGGAGAAATACAAACCCATTTGAACAAAAAAAACTTCAAAAGAAAGCACCAAGAACTATTGTTTTCTCAGAAGTTCACATTCTTAACCATGTATATGTAAGAACAAACCATCTTTTAGGTCCGCTAGCCAGTGGACAATAGCCAAGTGGGCATGTAAAACATGATACCAAATTAAACATGCAGGTCAGGCCTGCCATTTTTAGCATATTTGCTACATCATTTCAGTTTCTTTGATCTTATTGCTGTTTCTTACTCTATTATAATTTCTCCATTGTTGTGGTCTTTAAATGCAATTGAAATAAATTCGGAGTCACAACTCACAATCAAAAGTCATTATCCCTAGGTTGTAGAAATTTTAGGCATAAATTTCAAGATCTCAAAACAAGATAAATTCCAAGAATCTCAAGCTGACACTTTATAGAAGAATTATGGCAAGGGTAACAGGATTGATAAATGAGGACACAATGAAACATTCTTTAAACAGATGCCCAGTTACATACCTCTTTGCAGGTGCAATGCTTGCAACTTCAAACTGTGGAGAAGACAAGTTAGTACTAGCATGTGCTTCACTGCTCTGAGTCCTGTTTAATCACACTTCAGGGTCAGATGCCTTTCAAACAACATTGAAATCAACTTAGTGTTTTACATTCTCATAAGATTAAACCTGAGCAGCAAATTTAGCTTCATCACAAACCAGAAGCACAAGTCAAATGAACTTAACCAATTAAGATAATCAGGTAATTAAACTATAAATACAATTGGTGACAGTAGAAAATTTTCATTCTAAATTTACTCTTCAATAATAATCAAAATACCAGAATATAGTGCAGTCATAACAACACTTGTTTGTTTGTACTCGTAGTTTTCATTTAACTTACCTGTTGAAGTTTGGAACCAGTGCCAACTGCTTTCTCCACTTAGTTGAGTTGCCAGATAAGTAAAATTCAGCAACAATTGAAAGGATATCTGTCATCTCAGTCCCACTTCCTGTAAGTACAACTCTACCATCTGGACTAACTGTAATTTTCGAATCACGCACCATCTCTCCTACAAAGTCAGGGAGAGGGTTCTGGGCATCGGTTTTGCTACTTGGATAAATTAGAAAAGAAGCATAAGGTTGCTGATGCACACCAAACATCAATGGTTGAAGACCCATCAAATCAGATAGCATAGATAAATCAAGTTCCCCTTTCTCCACTTCATTCGATCCGGACATCAGAAACTTCAAGATTTTTTCATGCCTCATGCACTTTTCAGCTATCCCAAAGCTAAAGAGTGCTGTCTCTCGATAACCATCTGTGATCAAAGCAGGGTGACTATAAGCATTCTGTAACTGCTATGAGAGACAGTTGGGTGGAATAAATAAATAAATAAAAGGAATTGACATCGCAAATGAATCTATAAGAGTCTGATCTACAGTCACCAAAAAAAATTTCTGCTTTCTCATAGGCCACTAAATTCTTGCAGCATTGTATTGATTGGATTCCCTAATCTAGCTCCTAAAATTTTTTCTGCCTTCAAGAATCACTTTTCATAATTATGCTAGAGCTTATTCCGCCTTTTCTCATTACTCTTTCCACTCATGTTTGGGGTTGGAGTGAGGGAGGGAGGGCAGAAAAGCATGATGCAAAGACTTGAATTTAAATCTTAATTCAAATTTTCAAATACACAAACTCTCAAACTATAGAATAGTTTTATCAAGACTCTAAGAACAAGAATTGTTTCATTTAATGTATTTTCAAATGCCTCTTTCCCTTGAATACATAGCAAAAAGAAGTTACTAGACCATCCAATAAACTAGCCAACAAGTTGCAGACCTGGTTTATCAATGACCATAGGCCTTTGTGCAGCTCGATCAACATTAACAATCAGTTTAGGCTCACATAGTGCATTAACTGGTTTACATGGCTTCTCAAATCGTTTGCAGTTCAGATCATAGGGAACTGCTTGTTCTATCTCTTGTTTTACCACCTGACTTGACATGTAGGATGGGCACTCCTGCTTTGATCAAAATAATAATAATTCATTAGCAAATAACTAATACCACAACTTTTACTAAAACATTTAGTGCAAAGAGAGAGAGAGAGTTGTTAAGCACAAATAAACAATACTATAAGTAACAAAATAAGAAGAAGAGAAAATAGTTGCAAAGTACTGATGAAGCAAATCTCAATATCATCTAACTCATATCAGATATTACACACTGCGGGCACAGATTTCAATTAATCTCGATTTGACATCAACAAGACACAAAGAAAACATATAATAACTCGAAAATATTCATGTTGAAATTATTGAGAATGACCTGAATAACTAAACAAAGTAGAATTATCAATCATACATGGCGAACAGCAGCTCATAATTAAAATATTAACCAAAAAAAAATAGAAGCACCGAATTCAGATAACAATTTATCAAAACCCAAATCATAAAAACCATAGAAAAGAACTCCAATAAAAATATTACCTTGATCATCCTGCCAACGCCTTGCTCTTGCTGAAAAACAAGCCCCGGGCCCGGAGGGTACCCATGAGAAGACATCAAGCAAAGCTTCATCATATTTTACGGAGAGAAACCCAGTCCTCAAATTCCAAAAATTCTCTCCTTTAGCTTTTTGTGACCCTTTTGTCACAACACCATACACTTATCCATCTCTAGACCTCAAAATCTGGACATTAAGGCTTTTATTTAGTAGTAACAAAAAGAAAGAAAAGTTTAGGATGGGAAATGTAGATTTCTCTGGGTTTGGTATCTGTGGCAGGCGTCGCCTTGAAAATCCAGATTTGGGGACCCTGAAACAGACCAAAAAATGCCCCTGTTTTTATCTTGGATTCTTCCCAAAAGTCGAATTCGTTTCGTTCAGTAGTTAACTTCACGACAGAATTAGTTCTTAGCCCTCTGATTGAAATGTACGGGCTTGAAGGGATGTGCTCCAGTTCTGATTTTTTTGATTTGGAAAGCGTCGAGGGTGTGATGGAATACACTGGAACCTAACCGTGATAAAAGTCTCGGTGGCACCAGATTGTCCGCAAGTCAGGGTTGACTAACTTGAAGTCATTTGAATCAGCGGTTAAGATTATATCTCATCAACCGTGAATTTCTGACCTGTGTTTTTTTTTTGTTTCCTCTAAATTCGGCGGGACTCTATTAATTGCTGTATTTAATTACTTTAATTCTGCAATTAGCGCCTGGGTGACGTTGTCAGCTTCGGTCATCTTTATTTAATATCAAACAAATGGTAACTTGTTTTAATTGATAATATTAAAAAGTGTATCTATAATGTAAAAATAGCTTACAGTCAAGTAGGTTTTACGTGATCTTGATATCAAACGAATCATAATTATAAAATTTCATCTGAAATCAAATTTATTCAAAATTTTATATTTATTTGATTAAAATATTTAAAATAATATTTATTTATTTATTTATTATGAGTTGGGATTTATTA